TTTTTCTCCGGTACTGGGAACCGAACTCACGACCTTGCGCTTGCCAGGCAGGCGCTTTGCCGCTGAGCTAAATCCCCAGCCCCTCTCCTCCTTTAAAAAAAAAAAAAAATCACTGCTTAAAACAAAAGTAGTTTGTGTCTAGAATTATAAGGAAGACTGCAGTAAGAATCACCGTGTTTGTCAAACACTCCTAAGGAGCAGGCCAGAATCTGCCTCCCACCTCTCCCGAGGAGGCCAGGCAGGCAGGCGCAGGGTCAGCCACGGAAGGAGCCGCGCCCGCGCAGTGCCAGCTCACCCTCTGGTACCGAAACCTGAAAGAAAGGCAGCTGTTTCCTCCGAGCAAACGCCTACATGGTCACTGCTTGCTTGCACCCTGGGAGAACCAACTCCTGGGCAACTGCTGCAAGGAGAGACATCGCCAGGGAGTAGGACGACACCGAGAGAAAGGGGACAGAGGGCACGGTTCAGGGGGCCGACGCTTCCTGAGCCCCGGGCGCTGCGCAGGTAAAAAGCTGCCGCCCCTGACCCGAAGGAGGGAGCACACGATGTCAGTCCGCGTCGTTTCTAGCGCACTCACAAGGGTGTAGACGGCCAAGCTCCATTAACACGAGAGCAGAACACCATCTTCCCGGCTGCTCGCTGATACCGTCAAAAACAGTCCGAGGCTTTGTTAGAAACCAACAAACGAAGTCGGGCATGGTGGCGCACGCCTGTAATCCCAGCACTCGGGAGGCTGAGGCAGGAGGATCGCTGTGAGTTCGAGACCAGCCTGGGCTACACAGTGAGCTCAAGGCCAGCCTGAACTGCATAGCGAGACCCTGTCTCAAAAAAAAAAAAGAAAAGAAAAAGAAAAAAGAAACCAACCAATGATTTGGCAGGACTCTCAAGCCAAAAAAAGATCCCTGGCTTAATGCTCAAGGATGGAAAGAAAGAAGAAAAAGTAACCGATTCCCAAACTTGCCCGACACCGCCCACGTCCACGGGAAGCAGCGGGTCCCGCGAGGAGCGAGTGCATCCTGCGGTCGTTAATAAAGATGACAAGCAAGACAAGAGCTGCAAATTCTAGCAAGAGCTGACAAATTAGAGCGCAAAATAAAGATGGAGCTGGAGGTCTCTCAAGGAACTACCGGCGGAAGGACGCCGTAGCCCGCCCGGCCGCCCGCGACCCGGGCACAGGAAGCGCGCCCGGCCGGACCGCAACGGAGG